TTCTCTTTCTGTCTGGCTGTCTGCCTGTCTGTCTGTCTGTTTATCTCTGTGTATAGATATAACTATCTATCTCTTCTTCACGCTCTCTCTTTCTCTCTCTCTCTTCCTATCTATATCTCCCTCTGTTTCTCACTCTAGCTCTCCCGCACCCTTTCTAAAATAAAGTAAAAAAAAGAATAAAAAATAGTTTTCAAATCACAAACTCGGTGTCCGCGAAGACGATGAAACTTTTCCCCCGACCGCATCTTGGGAAGGAAGTCCAACCTTTTCCTCCTGTGGCGATCGAGGAAGTTATATAAAAAAGAAAAGAAAAAAAGAAAAAGAAAAAGAAAAGAAAAAAAAAAAAAATCGAAATTGTACTCGGGGTCTCTAATGGTCTTCCTCTCGAATGCCGTTTGGCCTAAGCTCTTTCGCCCTTCTGTGACCTTTGACCTTTCTCTTAGGTCTCTTTCTCTTTAAATTTCTCTTTCTCTGTCTCTCTTTCTCTTTAGATTTCTCTTTCTCTATCTTTTTCTCTTTCTCGCTGTCTTTGCTCTTCGTCTCTGTCCGTGGTTCTGGCTGTTTTGTGTGTGTGTGTGTGTGTGTGTGCGTGTTTGTGTGTGTGTGTGTGTGTGTGTGTATGTGTGTGTGTGTGTGTGTGTATGCGTGTTTGTGTGTGTGTGCGTGTGTGTGTATGTGTGTGTGTGTGTGTGTGTGTGTGTGTGTGTGCGTGTGTGTGTATGTGTGTGAGTGTGTGTGTGCGTGTTTGTGTGTGTTTTTATGTGTATGTATGTGTGTGTGTGTGTGTGTGTGTGTGTGTGTGTGTGTGTGTGTGTGTGTGTTTGTGTGTGTGTGTGTGTGTGTGTCTGCCTGTTTCACTATAACTATCTATCCATCAATCTATCTACCTATCGATTTATCAACATATAAATTTATCTGTCTATCTATCTATCTATCCATCTCTTACACAGCCCCTGTTCCCAATCCTGTTCTTTCTAATCCTCGTTCATTATCGGTTCCTTCCACCCCTTCCCCTTCCCTTCCTCCCTCTCATCCCACTCCCCCTCCCCCTCCCCACTTTCTCACACCCTCCCTCCCCTCCACTTCTTCCCTCCCTTCACCTTCTTCCCTCCCCTCCCCTTCCCCTTTTCCCCTCCCCAATTTCTCACACCCTCCCTACCCTACCCCTCCCCCCCTCCCCTCCTCTTCCCTTCCTTCCTCTACTCCCCCCTTCTCCTTTGCCCCTCCTCCCTTCCTCTTCTCTTCCCTCCCTTCCCTTCCTTCCTCTCCTCCCCCCTCCCCTTTTGCCCCTCCTCCTTTCCTCCTCCTCCTCTTCCCTTCCCTCCTCTTCCCTTCCTTCCTCCCCTCCCCTTCCCCGTTGCCCCTCTTCCCTTCCCTCCCCCTCACTCCCCCCCCAACTTCTCACACCCTCCCTACCCTTCCCCTCCTCCCTCCCCTCCCTTCCCTTTCTTCCTCCCCTCCTCTTCCCTCCCTTCCTCCCCCCCTCTTCCCTTCCCTCCCTCCCTCACTCCTTCCTCCTTCCCCCCCCCCCCCTCCCCCCAATTTCTCACACCCTCCCCGCCGCAACACGGACGGTAACCAGCACTAACAAGCTTGTTGCAATTCACGCAGGTAATTTTTTTTTGCAACATGTCTCATATAGCCGTAAACTCGACACAACTCGACATCGGTGGGGATATTATGAACCTTATGACCACGTAACGATACGGTCGAGAATCGCTTGAAGGCGTGTATCCCTTTGCAGATCGCAATATGCATTCATGGGAAAGTTTGGATATGTGTGTGGGGGGGGAGGGGGGGAGGAGGGAAGAGATGGGTGAGGGGGTTAAATAGAAGGGGGTTAAAGGGGAGGAGGGGAGGAGGAGGGGAGGGGGGGGGAGGGAGTAAATGAAAAGGGGGAGAGGTCATGAAGAACCTTCCATGGGGGGTGAGGGTGAGGGGGGGAGGGGGAGGGTCATGGGAAATGCAGTAAAAGGAAAGAAAGGAAGTACCTTGTAAATCTCAACATGAAAATGAGAAAAGAGAGAGAGATGTATATATATATGTCTGTCTCTCTATCTACCTATCTATCTATCTATCTATCTGTGTATCTCTACTCTTTATCTCTCTATCTCTATCTCTATATCTACCTCTCTATTTATCTGTCTTTCTCTATCTACCTATCTATCTATCTATCTATCTATCTCCCCGCCCCCTCTCTCTCTCTCTCTTTCTCTCTCTCTCACTCTATCTATCTCTATCTATTTCTATCTATCTTTCTATCTGTCTATCTATCTATCTGTCTCTCTGTCTATTTCTCTCTCTCTCTCTCTCTCTCTCTCTCTCTCTCTCTCTCTCTCTCTCTCTCTCTCTCTCTCTCTCTCTGGACAGATAGATAGAGAAAGAGAGAGAAATATATAAATAGATAGATAGATAGACAGATGGACATATAGACAGACATATAGATAGATAGATAGATAGATGAATAGAAATAGATGGAGATAGATAGATAGACAAAGAG